TTTCCCTGCATCAGTGTGCTGTGGAATTAAAGGGTGTTTTTTTAATTTTTGTTTTTTTAAGTAGTGGGAACATTTTCCCCTGACTCATTTGTGGGACTTGGCCAGGTCTCCTATTTGTGAACTGGATGAATGGGGTTAGGGTTGGGTCATGGCCTTGGACCAGAGTGAAATTAACTGGCTCATAATGTGATTGAACTAATGACCTTGGCCTCATTACCACTATGTTTTAACCAGTTGAGTCAATCAGACATTGCAGAAAGGGTAATCAAGGTATCTTTCAGAAAGAGATCCGGATAGCAGTAAACATAGGAGTGGAATCAAAGCCAGGTTTTTGCTTCGTATCACACCCAGGTGTTTCCCTCTTTATCCCTGAGTTTTTATACTTGTTTCTGCATCTCATAAAAATATGATGGGCAAAATGAAAAGGACACTGACTCTCTGTGTTAGTGTTTTCGACATAAGGCAATTTATAGTCATTTTTCTTACACAGTGTCAGACTGTTTCTGTGGGGTAAAATATGTTTGAGCAACAATAGTGGTTTTAATTTTAGACATGTAGTGTCCTGTACATTTATTGATGATAACTTTTTCTTCTTTCAAGTCTGAACAACCCAGTCCTGCCAGTTCCAGCTCTAGCTCCAGCTCCAGCTTCACACCGTCCCAGACCAGGCAACAAGGTATCCACATCTCCTGGGCCAACTAGGAGACATTTTTCTTATATAACATCTTAATGAGTTGATTTATGGCCTATTTTCTACTGTTTTATTATTTGAATGATAACTTGGCTTTTATGCAGTTGTGTTTATTTCCCCTAGGAATGCACTTGAGTATTGTTCTGTTGTATGAGGCCGACCTTTAGAAATTCCCCTTTTTCCAGTCCCTGCCATCAGAGTCCCATTTTACAAAGGGATTATAGACACAGCCCATTCCAGGGAGTTCCCAAAGGAAATACAATAGCAAAAGCTGGACTTGAGAGACTTTGACAGAGAGAAATAGGTTTTTAGTCTCCCTCCTGGACATCTTTCATTTTATTATTTTTCTACAGATTAGTAGACCTTTTTCTTTGGTGAGTGTTAATTTGCTGTCTTTAAAATATATTTTCTTCTACTCAACTCAAAATAAAGAAATTTAATTAAAAAAATTTAACTGGAACATTAAATATATGTTCCACTTTTTCATGTGTGGAAACTCTTCAAATGTGGACTCCTTTTTTCTGTTTGTTTGTTTGGTTTTTTTAACATGAAAAGTGAGATAGTGTCAAGAAATAATTTGTTTCTGAGCATCATGTCACACATTGCCTTTTTCATTGACCACGCTGAATTCCTGATGACCTTGTATGTTTTGAAAAGTATTAAACTGTTGTGTGTGTTCAGGCTAAGGCTGAGCTTCCAGGAAAAAATAAGACACTGTTCATTTTGGGTGTTCAGAGTTTTTGTTCCACTGACTTCCAAAGATAAAGGCCCATTAAAAAAGCAGAGAAATTTGGGTTTTGCAGAATGTGAGATTACAGAGAGTCAATACTTATTTTAGAAGTGAGTTAATGATAGCTCAGATAGTCCTATCACAGATTAGACTTTACGAATTGGCTAATCCAGAATGAAAGTGCCTCTGTCACTTTCTTGATTGCCTTTACAATCTCTTCTGTTAAGATTAGAAATATCTATTTTGTTTTCATCACATTTAGAGTAGTATGGCGAAAATAAGCCACACTATGCATTGTTTTCTGTTTTTTTTTTTTTTTCAATTCTAGAATAATCTGAATTGATTTTTCTCTCCCATCTAATACTGGATACTCTTTTGAATATTCTGGGCACCTGATTTATTACATGGTCTTATTTATGTAAATACATGCCAGTATTTTGCCAGGAATTTCTTAAAAAGTAAAATAAAATTGGCTACACGGAATTGTTGCAACAAGACCTTGTGTCCAAGATCAATACAAAATCAGAGATAGGACATTACACCATGGAATTGAAATACTTTAGAATCTGAACTTGACTGAAATGCTTGCTTGACCTGAAATTGACCTTGAAATAAAAGGAACAGCTAAACCTTAATAGATCAAAAACTACCACACAAAGGCTGCATTGCTAAGAACAAGTTACAACCGTGGTGATTTATTAGTCTCAACTTTTCAATACACGGATTAACCTAACAAAACATTCAATTTACTAACAGATCTTTCTTTTTAGGTGTGATTTTTCTTAGGGAAGAAAACTGCATAGAAAAAAATCCCTAGGAAATAGAGATTTTCTAAAGAACATTTTCGGGCATCTGTTATGAAAGCAATAGTGTTTTGGCAGAGGTTGCATTCCAGAAACTACCAAATTTGTCATGTAAATTGTATAAATATATATGATAGTGGTAATTTTTAACCAGTGCTCTGTGCTGGTGAGCATTCCTCTGTGTCTGATGTGGCTAAGTGTGTTTGACTGCCTGTGGTTTGTTGTCATTACTCAGGTCCTTTAAGGTCTATAATGAAAGATCTGCATTCTGATGACAATGAGGAAGAATCAGATGAGGCAGAGGATAATGACAATGACTCCGAAATGGAGAGACCTGTAAATAGAGGAGGCAGCCGAAGTCGCAGGTGAGTGTCTTGGAAGGAACGAGGTTCCCTGTAATGGAATCATACCTTTTCACTCCGCCTAATAGTATAACCACAGCAAAAGCGTGAAACACCAAAAACAATGGCAGTAAATGGTCACATTCATTTTTTAAGTTGCAGTACCTTGGCATGCTTACGCAGCTTCTCCAGGGAACTATTTGTTCTTTTTTCTCAGAAAGGAGAGGCTTTTCCTCCATAAATTTTATAGGGAAGAAGTCCTATTAGAAGTCTTTGCTCTTCAAAGTAAATGCCAAGGTGGCAGGACTGGCCGCTGAAATTAACTCTGCTTTCATTTGAAGAATTTGTGTAGATCCATTGCTGTAGGTAGCTCAGAATCTGAGGAAATGTGTTTGCTGTTTGTAGTTAGAAATGCATAATTGGCTTCAGTGCATTATGTGTGTGACCTAAGTAAAACTAGGATCACCTGTGTGTTTTCCAGAAAATAAATTCCTTTTAAGTGTGCTGACAGTTAGGTTCCTTAAGTAGCTTTAATGCGGTGAGGCATAATTCTACATTATAAGATGGTAATTCATGTCACTTATAATTAATAGTCAACTTGAAATTGCCTTGAGGATTTTATTTCTTTATCATGAGGAAAACAAATAGGCATATGCTTACTTCAATGCGTTTTGAGTAGAAAAAGTATGGATCTATTTGAGCTTAAAAGTTACATTTATAATGTATTGCGTTAAATCATTTCCCATTATCTGTTACCCTAAAATTCCTATAAAGAATGCGATCTTAACCCAAACTGGACAGACCATATGTCGCTAATTGGTGATTCCTTCGTGTCCTTTGAGAAGAGGCTCCGTAGAGTATATGCCCTATCAAATCACTCAGCAATTCTTCCTTATGGCCATACTCAATATCTCTTTCTCCACCCTGTCTCCCAAACTCACCCATCTGTATTCCTTTTAAATAGGAGAAAATAAGGAAGCTTATGGCCTTGGCCTTATAATATTTCCCTTTAGAAGTCTTTAATCTGACAAGAAGGAAACTGATAGGGCAAAAAATACCTAAAAATGGACTGAAACTTGTAGGTGAGGAGCGTCTTTATAACAACCAACATCCTGACCACTGGCTGCTCTTACATGTAGCTGGTGAAAAATGCATGACGCTTAGACATTTACTTAGACACTTTCCCAAGTTATTGTTACATAGAAGATCTCCATGTTCTGTGATGAGCTGTGGCCTGCCCCCTTCCTGCCCCATCCCCTGAATCAATACGGGTCAGATGATACACGTTTGTGAGTTGGCCGATGTGACGCACAGTTGTTGGAAAGGCTTTTCTCCCCTCCTGACATGTGCTGTTAGCACAGTCCCCACCAGCATAACATTTGATCTTCATTGCACTTGTGAAGTCTCAACTGTTTAATCAGTTTAAATACTCAGCCTTCCACTTCAGTCAAGAAGCATTTTAAAGCAGTGCTTCAACTGAACACTTCATTAATGCAATTTAGTTAAGAAAAACAAGTTCCATCAGTTTTTGCTAAAAGGATGTCCCAGTGTATCCTTTTCATTTCCTGTCTTGTATCTTGTCTCTCTGAATATATTATAGAGCTGGAATGTGATTGCCTATTTAGAGCAAAAGAAAAGCTATCCTGATTTCTAAAGCATCTTCTGTTTCTGAGAAGAATATTATATTAGGTTACTATATAACCAAGGAGAGGGAGCAAACACTGAAGGATATTTCTAAAAGAGGGCATACATTCAACAGAGTAGAATGAAGAAATATCTCCTGTTCTGGCTAAAATTCCATTTTGTTCTGAAAAGGAAAAAATTGGGGAGGAGGTGATATTTTTATTGTCTTTCATTGTTGAAAGATATTGTATTTTTCTAAAGCAGTTATCCCAAACGTGCTGTCTTTTCATGTTGCTGTGGTGTATTTACAATGAATTGTATCAGAACTAGGGTCAGCTTTGCATCATTACACTGTGGAAATGATTGGTGATGGGTCTATCGTATTGGGCTTCACACATCCCATCCTCAGATGTCACCCTGAGCTGTCAGTCCTGCAGGGCTCTAGTCCACATTCTTCTTAGCAGTTATTTCCATTCCTGCAGCCTGTATTTTAGCCATATTTGTAAAAATTTCACCTGTAGCAAATAGGCTGGGGGAAAGGAGAAAAAGGTAGTAACCTGTGAACTGTCTAATTTTGCTAACCTGAAAGCTTGGGTGACATGCTTATGATAGTAGGTGGATGGAGCTGGAACAGGGAGATGAATGAATAAATGAAGCCAGTAAGATATACTGGCTGGGCACCAGCTTCAGGTCCCATTGCTTGGGTTTGAACCCTATAACCTCCACTCTTACCTCTGTGACGCTAGGTGAGTGACCTAGTCTTTCTAGGTCTCAGTTTTCTCATCTGTGAAATGGGGATTAGTAAATGAGAAGTAGTGGATAAAACACTTAACCCTATTCCAGATACAAAGTAAAACGCCAATACGTGGTAGCGGTTATATGAGTTAAGACAAGTTCACAGTGACTAGCGTTTGGATTCCTTACTCTCTGCGCTTAATTCTTTGGATATTTCAGGAACTGTCTGTAATGACGCATATGACTTCTCTGTTTCTTTTCAGAGTTAGCTTAAGTGATGGCAGTGATAGTGAAAGCAGTTCTGCTTCCTCACCCCTACATCACGAACCGCCACCACCCTTATTAAAAACCAACAACAACCAGGTAAGTTGCTGGGTTTGCACTTCTCAAGATTCTGCAGAACTAGAGGTTGATCATTTTTACTAAGCATGCAAAACTTTTCACCCCTTGAGTTTTAAACAAAGTCCCTCTTGATAGCAAATAAGTGGGAATCTACAGCCTTAGGAATAAACATAGTTAGGGTAAAAGAACTTCTGTTGTCATGAAAAGTATGTTCCATTGGATGGGTTAATTAATTAGGTGCAGGACGGGATGGTGACAAAAAGTTGTTGCCCATTTATTCCTGATTTCTGTATATTTTCTCCCTCAGTTGTTAGTAGGCTGTTAAGTGAATAAGAAAGAATATGACTTTTGGAGCTAATATGAAGCCTGGTTCTTTGTTTTACTAATTTACAGTAATTTATTAGTGGGAAAATAACTTTTAACTTATCCTCAGTTTCCTCATTTGTAAATGGGGATATTAATATCTACCTTGCTGGTTACTGGGAGGATGACAAAAAATATATGTAAAGGGCATGAGGCATTGTTCATACCTTCTTGGCAAACAGTTGATGATAGATGGTTATTATTATAGGTGTTCTGCCTCTGTGTGCTCATCCAGGAAAAAGGATTATCACTTGGGATTGTAAGGAATAGTTTATAAAATACACAGTAAACAGTGGTCATTATCATTGCTGTTAGAAATCAAGGTAAAGGAAAGCTTGTGAATTTGATGATCAACTCAGAATACAGTTATTTGGATAAGGTCTAGGCAGAACTTCAAAAGCTGTGATGAAGAGCTTTTGTTAAACAAATGATTATTTTAAATACTTGCTAAAATAAACTATTTTCAAGTATTGTAAAACCGTCATTATGCATTGAGTTGATACTCTGTTACCATGTTATTCTTATTTCTTTGTTTAGACAGATTCCACATGACCTCTACAATAATTGCTTAATTCAAGTTACTGTATGAATGTTAACTTGAAAATAACGGAAATGTGGTTCTGTAAAATTATTCTGTTTCACAGGTGTCCTACCTGTGATTTTAAATAGACTTGCCCTTGAATTTGTGATCTTTGTTTTATGGGGAAACTGTGATTTTTGTAGCCGAAGGCGTTTTCATTTTAAATTTTGTGTAAAGCATAAGCAAAAATCTCTCAAAATTTAAAATTCCTCATTTATAAAGTTTTTCTACAACTTAAAGCCTGCATTATTAAGTAGAAATAATATCAGTGTTCTTTACCTCACCAGTTACAGTTCAACTGCAATGTCTTTGTGACTGCAGGCCCAACCTCATCATCCATTATAGACTGGCCATTCAAGGAGGTGTGCAGTCTTCTTCCTTATCCTAACTCCCCGAAGTCCATGTGCTTCCCCACCTCCAGTGCCAGCCATGCCCTTGGCCCAGCCAGCTTTCACCTCCAGTGTGGCTCCAAGTCAGGCATTTCAGGGGAAAGTGAGGGCAATGGGTATAACCATCACTGCCACTCAGTTGAGAAGAGCCCGGGGCTGGCTAACTAGATTACTTGGGTTTCTTATATTTATAAGTGTGTGCTTCAGTATGAGCTGGCAAAAGAATAGCATTCAGACCTCGAATATATTTTTATATCCAGTTTAAACCTATATAGGCCTAATTTCTGCTTCCAGTGGGTGGTATATTAAAATTAGGGTACTTCCTGGGCAGTGGCAGTGCCAGGAGTGAAGGGCATTAGGGTGTGCTTTTGTACCCCACAGTAGTCTCCTTCAGCATATTTTCCAGTCAGGGTTAAGACTATGCTTGCTAAATAAATGCAGCTCCAACAAGCCCCCATCTTGCCCTGCAGACAGAACTGCCTCTAATCCCTTCCTGACGGGCAGTCTTGAGCTGGCCCTGGTTTCAGGGAAAGGTTTAGAGTCTTTGTCAGACTTTTTTTTTATTAACCTGTCTAGCAGAATGAAAACAAAAACAAATGGTATCATCTATCTAGAAAGGGTGAAAATTACTTTATCCAATTAAATAGCATACCACTAGTTCCTTGGCATATGTTTATTTGACAAATGTAGCTTCACACATGTGAATCATCAATCTGTCAGGAATACCCAGTTATATGTCATTTTCTCCACACACCTATAAGCATAATAAGGAGGTCCATATGCTTTCACTTTTAACTAGTTTAGGGTAGGAAATAAATGTACCACAGCGTGCTTTCCTCCTTGGACCTATGTCTTAGAACTGGAGTGTGTTTTTTAGTCGTGTGTGTGTGTGTGTGTGTGTGTGTGTGTGTGTGTGTATGATTAGTGATGATGATGATGATGATCTGAAATTTCACATAAAACAGATGAGAACATACTGGGAAGGCCAAACTGTGACATGGGGAGACGCTTGAGTTTTCTTCTTCCATATCCCTTGGCTGTTCTCTGTCTGTAGGTTGATAATGGTCTCTCAAATTTCTGTAAATTATCAGACAAAGCTGTGTTTTCCTTACCTTTTCTCAGTCTTCTAGGGACTAGGGAAGAGAGAAAGTGCTAATTGAGCCAAACATTTTCTAACTCTTGGAAAAAAGTGAGCAGAGAGAGAGCCACATGTCAACAAAGCAAGTAATTAACCTGAGTATTGTTAGGAGCTACTAGTGATCATTAACATGAAAGACCCATCAGTAGAGAATCTATCTGCTGAATAATTGAGTTGTCAGTCCTCACAAAGGAATACAGAAAAATAATAATCTTGAAATGTCGACTCTCAAGCCATATCCTCAGATTAAGGAGAGAAGTGCAACTCATCACAGTTCTATTTTCAGAGACTACCACGTGCATAAATGGTGCATCTCAGCAGTCTGGGTGGCTTTTTCTTCCCATACAGCTTAATGGGGAATAATAGTGCTGTGCCATTTTCACCAAAGTTTTTTGTTTTTTTTTTTTTTAACTTCAAACCTTGTTATGTGAATTTCAAACAAAATCAAAATTCCAGATCCTTTTTGGCTGAAAGTGTAGAAGGGAGGGAGGTGAGGGGGCCTTAAAGGAAGGAAGCGATCCATGGGACCTGAGTTAATATTCAGAATATGATAAATCACCTATCAGCCTGCAAGGCATGTTGAATGAAATAAAAGAGTCTATCCAGTTAAACTGGTTTGAAATCAGCCCGTGGAAGACAAGGTGCCATACTTTTCTATTCTGGAGTCGTTTCCTTAAAGATAAGAAATGATCATAAATAAAACAATTGTCTTCAGCATGGCTCAGCTCTCAGAATGAGGTTTTGACAAAGCTGTTTATTTTGGAGCAGGGAGAGATCAAAGCAGGAAGATTAACTGAGCCCTCTCTGGGCAGCCACTCAGTAACTCGAGGCGGATCACTGACACCCGGGGCTTTTGTTCCTGCCACTGCAGCTTCAGAAGAAAGAAACTAGGATTTCAATGTATTTGGGCCTTCTGTGCTGTAGCACTCACGGAATGTGTAGGGTGGGACTTCAGCGCCCTGAATGTTCTGTCTATTTTCTGCTTTGAAGAGAAGGTGGTGGAACTCTCTCAACCTAGTTAACAGCTCTATATGGCAAATAGAGAGTTCTCAGTCACTTGGCCCCCAGAGGGCAATGACTTGGGGCCTGGAATGGAGGGGGGCATTCTGGGGTGGGATATGATGGGAACAAAATTCCATTTTCTAATGCACAAGGCAGGCAGGCACTGGTTTTTCCTCTTGCCTGAAATCGCAGCAGATCTGCTCTGCTTGGGCCCGGCCCCAGATCTGAGTTGGTGAGGAGTGCCATCTACTGACCTACTTACTCCTAGGTCTCAGCGCCAGTGTTCCCTTGAGGTCTCATTTTCAACAATAGAGAAGGAAATTCTGAATGTCGTGGGGTGTTTGGTTTCCTTTACAGTGAAGCATGTTAAAAACTATTGCTTTGCCTCTGCGATTAAGTAATTTCCTTGTGTTGCCAGAAGTATTGTTATTTGAAGTTAGCTTGGTCACATTGGTCTTCTGGTTATCTTAATGTTAAAAATGAAGAAATAAAGGTTATTCTTAGGCAAGGTTCTGTTAGGAGCTCACTTCTTACTTATACATTTTCCTAAATTCAAGGGAATATGTACCCTTAGAGAAGTATTTGGTCTTTTCTAGAATGTCATCCTCAATAGATAAAATGTTTATTAGTAGTAGAAAATTTTACAGCTGAATGGGAACCTGGATGTTATCTTGTTCATCTCTCTCATTTCATCTCATTTTTTGAGGTTCAGAAATGATGAATGATGGGGCTGGTACCTGAACTTGGGTTTCTGAGCCCACTCAATGCTCTTTCTACAAATTAAATTACAAAATAAATGTGAACTCATTTTTAAAATCTTTTTTGTGTTTTGGAAGATGGTAGACCTTTGAACAGAACTGGAGAGTGGTGTGTGTGTATGTGTGTGTGTGTGTGTGTGTGTGTGTGTGTGTGTTAAAGCAGAAATGGATGAAAGGAAGAGCAGTAGGAATATGAGACTTCTTAAATATCTCCTTTATTTTGCATTTTCTTCCTTAATATTAGCTTCAGGTTATAATAACTCACTTGGTAATGAGGATATAATGAAAAAGACAAATTACTTTGTTTTTTATGTTTCTATACATTTGTAAACACTCATCAGTAATTTCAGTGGTTCTCAACCATTTTAAGCAAGGGCCATTTAAAAATAGTTCCCTCATAATTCTCAATTTTGAAAATTCTAATAAATCAATTGTATTTATTAAGTAATAATTTGTTTCTCCTTTTTATTAATTAGAAACATAGCTCCCAACAGCCTGAACGGTATGCAAAACTGCTCTTCGTAACCTAAGCTACAATTGGGTCAGATAAAAGGAAAGGCACTTGATATTTATCATGGGTAAACACATCATTTCTTGAAATACAGAAGATAGTCCTGGCTCTTTATTTCTTGAGTGGGAGGATCCCAAGTTGGGAGCAACCAGTGTCACTGATGGCAACCTTCATTTCCAAAGCTGCCTCAGTTTAGTGGATATGAGTGAGTACTTTTTAGAATCTGAAAGTCAGGTACTAAAAAGGGTATTTGAGTGTTTGTCTTATCATCCTTAGTGTACCAAGCACTGGTAGTCATGCTGAAACAACAGAATGAATAAGAAAAAATTCTTGCCAGAGGGGACTGGAATCCACTACAACTCAGCTGCTGTACATACGTATGAGAGTGTTGTCACAAAAGAGAAGCAGCCTTGGAAGCTTAGATCAATTTCCTTATCTTCACCTTCTTTTTTTTTTTTTTCTTTTAAGTTCTATTGCCCTGACTCAGCATTTCAGACATACGTACTTTATTTTCCCAGAGAAAGTAAGATTAGAGGAGAAGAAAGAAAATTTATGGAGGAGAAATGCTCTTTGGAAAGTGATGTTATTATATGACATTTCATTCTTTTTTTTAACATCTTTGTTGGAGTGTAATTGCTTTACGATGGTGTGTTAGTTTCTGCTGTATAACAAAGTGAATCAGCTCTACATAGACATATACCCCCATATCTCCTCCCTCTTACGTCTCGCTCCCACCCTCCCTATCCCACCCCTCTAGGGGGTCACAAAGCACTGTGACATTTCATTCTTAAGTCCCTTCGTTTAGGTGGCTGGTTAGCTAAGAAGTGCTAGAAATCAAATTTAACTGTGTCCTCTTTGATCCTTAGATTCTTGAAGTGAAAAGTCCAATAAAGCAAAGCAAATCAGATAAGCAAATAAAGAATGGTGAATGTGACAAGGTAGGTGTCCAGTCCATTACTGTGAGTGCTTCAGCACTGACCCTCTTCTGTTTCTTTGTGTTTCCCTTGATCATCCTTGCTGGTTCTCCTTCCGTTTTCTTCATCAGAAACGTCTGAAACCTCCAAATGACAAGCACTTCTTCCCAATGCTTTGTAGTTTATTTTCCAAGTCTTGTTTATATCTCCAGTGTTAAGCCTGGCCTTATGCTATCCATGATTGCCAAGGATTTCAGGCACATTGAATTGGGAGGTGAGAGAATTGTGGTGCAGGTGGAGGGTTAAGGAATCTCAGACTTAAGTGAGCAGGACATCTGATCCCAGTGCAGTGTGTTTTCCCCAAGTGTGCAGTCACGCATCCAAAATCTGACTTCTAGGGCTGTTGGGGGTTTGTGTCTCGTTGTGGGCAGGGTCCTCACGTGCTTTGCAGGGGCGGGCCTGGCTAATGCTTCACAGACCTTTCTTTTGCCTTCATTGCAAATGGCACTCGGAACATCCAGGCATTTATGCTAACAAAGACCATTTAGTCTGAGTGTACGGAGGTGCACCTCTGCCTTTTCAGGGGAACTCCTGACAAAGCGGATGCTAATGTGGATAGTGACCTCTATTTTTCATAAGACATTTTTCTGTCCTGTTACTTGCTGTTCACTAGCAATGTTAGATATGACCAGGAGGGACCCAAGAGGGCTTTTTTCTTTTCAGTTTGCCCTGACATAATTGATAATGTGCATCAGTACTTCCATATTCAAACTTGGGCTTTTTCCTGTTAGTTAAAATGCTTCTAAGATGGAAGAATAGTTAAAAAGAAAAGAAAAAGAGAGTGTAGACTGTGATAATACACTTAAACTCACAATTTTTCATTGAGTTCCCCTTCTCTCTGTAGAGGCGTTGTTGGGAGAGGGGGAACCTGCTCACTTGAACCTTGTTGAAAGCAAATAAGTGCAAGAATTGCCCTTTTCATCAATAAAAAGCTGGCTTGAAAAGTTAATAGTTGGGCAAGAGAGATTTGGTCTGCAAAGGCCTTGGGCAGTGCATCCACACAGCCTGGGGTAGAGGGTAGTATGTGGAACCTCTAACCACTGCTTGTATGTTCTTATTTGTTTATTCTTTTATTTTTGAACTGCTTCCTTAAAGTGCTTGTTCTTTGGGGGGGATGCTGTTCTCTTTCAGGCGTACCTAGATGAACTGGTAGAGCTTCACAGAAGGTTGATGACGCTGAGGGAAAGACACATTCTTCAGCAGGTGAGAAATTCTTTTTAACACAACCCTTTCCAGAAACATCAAGGCCTAGTTTGTCCTGGGCTAGTGTAATAGCACCTGGAGGCCACGCCAAGTGGCCTTCTGCAAGCCCCACACTCTCAGAACTGGCCCAGTGCCACCTGCAAAGTAGGTGGTCGGGGGGGGGGGGGGGGTG